CTTCCAGCAGGGACACCTTGGGAGTGCTGGGAACAGTGTGTGTGTGCGTTTGAAAGTAAGAGAAGACAGGGCAAGTGCACCGGCACAGTCTCCCCCTCCCTCTCTGATGATAAGGCCAGCAGCAGAAGATATATTCTCCAGTGTGTCTTCATGAGAAGTGACTGCACTATTAAAAAGGCCTGCCTGCCTACGGAGCATGCTGAGCGATCTAGATAATGCACAGCACTACAGGGAGCTGAAAACAAACACCTATGTTTGTTTTTTTTACAGTAGATTGCAGCTCATGATTTGTGATGCTCTGGCAAGAGTCTGAATGGACGCAGACAGAAAAGATAGAAGTCTCTTTTGTTTTCACAGTTTGCTACAAAGGCTGTTAGTTCACTTAACCAGCTGCAGAAAACTACGATGTTATAATAAAAAAAAATTAAAATGGATCTGTGTCCTCCCAGAGTTCACCTTCTCCATATTTGCATTTATGGAGCTCAACATTTTAACTTTTAACGCGTTGGCACACGCAGCTTCACGACTTCCATCACTTCTGATTTCAAGTTCATCCTCAAATATGCCTGTGTGTCTGCCAGGTTCTTCATCTGGCATAATACACTGGAATATATTATCTGAAATTTGGCAGGAGCTGTGGATGTCAACCTTTTTTTCAGGAGGGACGCTTTTATGTTTGATGATTTTCCTCACAGGCAGAGGGCAGCAGAGCTCTACTGGATATCTTCCAACCATTGTTTCCTAATGCAAGGAAGCTACAATAGAACCCTGAACTGAAATATTTTGACCCCGTTTATTTGGCAGAGGGCATGTGGTGCGCTCACGAGGGCTGCAGTCTCGGGCCGGGACAGATGAAAGACCAAAGCAAATCATCGGACAACAGATTAGATTCCGCAGCCTGTGGGAGCATCTAAAGTAGGTCATCAGCGCCAAGGAGAGTGACAGGTCTGTCATGATTCAGGGCCAGTGATAAATGAAATCAAGAGGAGAGTCCTGCTGAGACTTGTAACCCAGAGATGATTGAAAATGCTCTGGTGGTTGTGACAGCCGTGCGTCAGCTGACAAAACAACAAACATATCCGTCTGTCACACTAGCTGACAACTCAGTTTGGATTTTCTCATGTCAGGAGCACGGATGGAGCGAATCACTGTTCAAAGAGCAGGAGACGCATCCTACTTTAGATGCTTTTGGAGATAGGCAGATGCTGATTCTAATTTTTGTGGTGTACTGATTTACAACTTACAAATTCAAATTCCATCATGTGGAAGCAGTGGGAGAATGCAAAAAGTGCAGGAAGGGTCATGACATCCAGGTAGCATTATCACTGCTCTAAACTCATGATGTATCTGTCTCTGCTGAGGCTAATTGGGTCTTCAAGCACTGTGAAGATTCTCAGAGACCAGCAAAGTCAGAGGCGTTGTGAAGTAACGCTCATTTCTGTTTCATAGCATGAATTTCAATTCATCACCTGAGGAGATTTCAGCGAGACTGACAGAAGACGGATGTTTGCAGTTTTAGTGGAGTTAAGCTTCTCTGCTCAGAGTTCAGCACCTCGTTGTGTGTTCACCAGCTCGTGCCAAACAGTTTGTTCAAACTCTGGATTGTTTGTTTCCTCAGTTTGCTCGGTGCAGGTGAGAGCAAAGCTTTTGGAACCAAAAATTGGTGCCTCAGTCCCGTTCCAGGCAAGCTGCTGTGTTTTTTTTTTTTTTTTTTTGGAGGGGATAAAACAAACCCGGGAGAGGAAGTGATTACAAAAACTGCTGAAGTCCTTCTAAGCTGACTTTGACGAGGAGGCAAAGTTTCTTTGCAATGTGTGGGGCCGCCACTCTGTAATGCCACTGAAAGAGTTGTTTTACAACACCTTTTACTGCAGATCAGTGAGTCCCAATAAAAAAGAAAGAAACAGTATAAAAATATTAAAGGAGTTAAGTTATCAAATACAATGAGATTTAACCAGAATAATCCTAGATCTGAGAGGTTTCGCTAATTAGAATAGCGACCCTGTTTGTTTACCTAAATACCATGTACAGGAAGGATTAAGGCTTAACACAACAAAAGACCAAAGCTAATGGGAAAACTTCAGTGGAACTTTTAAATATACTTCTAAAAAATGTAGAAATGAGAAGAAAAGAGTTCTTTTCTTTCAATTATAACACACTTCCCTGCCCAACTTAGCTGTCTGATTTTGAGCTTATCTGATCAAAGGAGTATAGGAGAGTTGTTAATTTGTCAGTTGTTATTAGTGATATCACCTATAAAGATTTCATCAAGTTGAGATGAAAGGGAATGAATGATGACCATTAGAGATTTTTATAGCTTTCCAATCAAAAAGGGCACAGTGTTTATCAGCATAAACCTGAGCTGCAGTTGTTAGCACACCAGCTAAATAGCAAAGAAGTGTTCCTTCTAAAGATCAGGCACACTGCTCATCAGCTACAGCAGCTTCCTTTGTTTTAAACAGTGAAGAACTTGAGAACATTAGCAAAGGTATGGTTTCATTAGCCAAAAAAGTTTTATTATCAAAGCCTTTTCTGATGTTGCTAAAATTTAATGTATAACATTTGAATATGTTTAAAAATATGAATACTAAGAGCAATATCCTGAACTGTTTTATTATTAATATTAGAGCTAATGTTTATCCTTAATTCAATGTAGCACAGACTTGAAGAACCTTGTTTATCTTTTACAGGTATTTAGCTGTCGAGGCTGGGGCACTCGACTAGAACATTTGTCTTTTAATAGACCGTGCTTTTGCCCAATATTACATGTTTTAGGCCTCTTCTCATTTCAGTGTAATTCATACAGAAACATTATGTATCACACTAAAATAGCAGAAGATGCTTTCAACCAACATAGCAAGCAAACACTTGCTGGATTAGCTAGCTAGCTACAGGTTTGCAAAAAGCAGCTGTCATTGCACTAGGACATGATCCTTTTGGTTAGATCTCTAACCAATGTAAAACCTAAACTCATTGGTAATGTTTAGTGAGGTAAGATGTTGGGTCTGCGCTTGCAGGCCCCGCTGGTTCAGAGACTTATCACCCGTGAACAAAGCAAGACAAACAGCGATCCATTTTAACTTGCAAGGGAAGCCGATCGGATCAGGGTCTTGGAGCTAGGAGCCCCTCACCTGATCCCAGACAACTCCGACTCCCAGTCTTCCCTGCAACCTTTTATACTGTGACACACAAGCACTCGTTGTTCATCTTTTTCACTGTCAGTTGGAGCCACAGATTTTATATAAGCAGATTAAAGAAGAAGAAGAAGAATAAACCCCTGCTGACAATTAGGCTGGCCTGGGAACGCCTTGGTATTCCCCCGGACAAGCTGGAGGAGGTGGCTGGGGAGAGGGAGGTCTGGACCTCTTTGCTTAGGCTGCTAC